GATGTTGGGGAGGGCCGTGGTGGGGAGAATGAACGGGTTCTTCTTCGTCCAAGAACAGAGATGGAGGAAAGGGGAGTAAGCTGAGGTTGGGAAGTAGGTTGAAGTCGGCGTCGAGGACGGCGAAGTGGGCTTTTTGCAGGGGCAGAACATGATGACGGAGTCTGTGTGGACGAAGTGGTTTGTGGATTAGGAAGAGGGGTAACGGATGGAGACAAAACCAGGGGAGGTAGGAGTGGTGAAGACAGGGGTGGTAGAGTAGTCGGAAGGTGGGTAACAGACGGCGATAAAACCAAGGGAAATAAAAGCGGTGAAGACGGGGGGGATGAAGTCAGGGGTGGTGAAGTGGCTGAAGCAGAGACAGGGGGGGCAGTCGTAGGTGAGACCCGAAGAGGGGACTCTGCAGGTGGTAATGCAGGCATGGCCACGGATGCCATGTCATCACAAACAGATATATATATATATATATATATATATCGTCACAAACAGAACGGCCCGGTAAACCGTAGGCAGAGAGAGAGAAGAGGACAACAAACGAGTGGCTGTGACAAACTGTTTCGTCGTATATATCTGTTTGTGACGATATATATATATATATATATACTCAAACAGAACTGCCCCGTAAACCGTAGGCAGAGAAGGAGATGAGCACAACAAAGGAGGGGCTGTGACAAACTGCTTTGTCGGAGTTTCATCCACTCATCAGGACTCAGGAGGCTGAACAAACACACACACAACACACACACACACAGACACACACACACACACATTGTCACATATCTATCAACTAGAAGAGCACACTTTCCGAAACAACGAAGAAATTAGCAGACAACATGCATTTTTCTGTGTAGCTCCTTTTCTTTCATAACTTTGGCTTTTTTCGTGGTTTCTTTTTTAACGGTCGAGAGGTGTGAACGTTGGGTGGCGGGCGGCTGTTGTGCCGGGGAAAGAGAGGGTGACTCTTCCGCCCGATTTTCTCCGGGTGCTCGCTATCTGCCCTGCTCCTTACCCAGATCCCGACTTCCTGCCATGTCATCTCCGCTGTCCCATCTCCGTTTCCTTCTCTTCGACTACCCCCGATCCCGACTTCCCCAACTCCGATCGATCCCGATCCTGCCTCCCCTCGCCCCGACCCGGATCCTCCCCTCCCTCCTCAACCGCATCTCGACGACTCCTCTTTCTGATCACCTTCCCCCTTCCGCCCGACTTTCTCCTGGTGCCCTTCCGCCCAATTTTCTCCGGGTGCCCGCTATCTGCCCCGCTCCTTGCCCAGATCCCGACTTCTTTGCCACGTCATCTCCGCTGTCCCATTTCCATTCCCTTCCCTTCGACTACCCCCGATCCCGACTTCCCCAATCCTGCCTCCCCTCGCCCCCATCCGGATCCTCCCTTCCCTCCCCAACTGCATCTCGACTTCCCTTCCTCCCTGCGCCTGACCCTACTTCCCTCCTGCGCCCACCTTTGTTCCCCCCACCTGGCGCGCACGTGCCCACGCACACTTCCTCCAACTCCTCCCTCCTTCTGCCCAATCACGTCCCCCCCCTCCTTCCGCTTGCCTGCCTCCTCCTCCCTGCGCACCAACTTCCTCCTCTCTGCACCCCGATTCCCTGATTTCGATTCCACTTCCGCTCCTAGCCCACGCGACTCCTCCACGCACATGATCCCGCTCTCTTCCCCTACCTAACTTCGTTGCAGCCCCTCCCCACCCGCTGCGCACCTGCTCCACCAATTCCCACCCA